CATTTGAAATTTTCGAATCAGAATCATCACTTGCATATTCTGCACTATTTCATTTCCTTGGTATTCCTTTTGAGATACTCCCAAATTTCTTCAGGAGACTTCATTTTTATAATTCTAGTAAGAATCGAAGGGGCTACTGCAGAGAAACGATAACCTTTAACTTTGGTTTTCCTTGTCTTATTCTCCTTGTGATTTTTCATTTGATTTATTGTTGGATTATCACCAAGAGGAGTTACTTCATAATCCTCTTCTACTACTTGACAATTCTCACCATTGAAGACTGTTGGAGTTAAGAAGAAGCTTGTTTCAGAATTAATTTTCTATAAACTATTTGATATAATAGTTCAAAGAGGGTTTATATGGTTCACTCTCTTCTCACAGGTCCCTCAAGATTGCAACACTCTGATACCAATTTGTAGGAGATAAAACCATATTGACAAAGAAAGATAAGAAAAGATAACAAGGTTAAATTGCCTTCCTTTATTGAAATAATGACTGCAATATAAATACATAAATTCATAACTTAAAAAGCTAAAAAAAAGGAGTAAAATAAGCTAACATTATCTCTAAAACTAAAGCCTAAAATATAGCAAATGGCTAATCATATTTGGCCTAACACTGCAACCTTATTTTTCTGAACTTATCCTACTTTAAAGCTGTATATTGATACAACAAAAAGTGGAACTAATCTCCACCTTTTGAGGCACCACTTTCAACAACATATGAGAGGCAAAGCGAGCCCCTATCTGAGAGTAAGGGTGGATGCATTATCTCAAACCCACATGGAACCGGAAACACCCAACTCACCATAGTGTTTCTTCGGTCATTTCTCAAGTTTTTCCCACAGTGTCGGCCTGTAACCATAGCTCCTTCCAATTTGCTTCTTGACATGGAAGCCGAGTTCCAGAAATGAGTGGTTGACATCCCCTTCCACCAATTGAACAGCAAGACTTCTCTTTAAAGGAAGATGAAGGTATAGTTGGTGTCTTTCACTGTTTATCCCGTGTTGTGAAAAAAAAATATCAACATCTTATAAGCATGGTGAATCTGAATTCCAGGGAAAAAAGTATGAGTGTTCTGAGAATCCGTTATGTCTTCTTCAGGATTCTCACGGGAGAAGATGGAGATGGTTATGCAAAAGAGACTAGAGAAATACTTCTAAAATTTCCTAGTCTTCTAGTCCTTGATGAAGGGCACACTGCTCGGAATCAGCACAGGTTTGTGTGGAATACTTTGCAGAAGATTGAAACAGAGAAGCATAGACTCTTGTCTGGATCTCCGTTCCAGGATAACATCAAGGAGCTTTACAACCCTTTCTGTGTAGTTAGTCAAAAGTTTGCTGCTGATTTGAAGCAGAAACGGGCTCTCTTAGCAGTTCCAATGAAAAGAATGCCCAAGCATTGGAAGAGCTTAGGGATATTATATCACCTCTTTTCCATAAATGTAGTGAAAATGTAAAGAAGGTAAGCCTTCTAGGTATACGGGACACTGTAATAAACATAAAACCCACAGACTTGCAGAAGGAGTTGCTTAAAAGAATTCCAGCGAATCCTGGCTCCTTTTATGAACAAAATTTGTTGTCTCTGATCTCTGTTCATCCTTCATTAGTGGCAAAGAGGAACGAGTTCTCTGAGTAAGAAAGTCAGCTCAAATAAAGAGATGTCAGTTGGATCCAGATATTGGAGTAAAAATGAAATTTGTTGTTGAACTGATCAGACTCTGTAGTAGACGGAAAGAGAGGGTTATAATATTTAGCCAGTTACTTGATCCTCTAAAGCTGATCAAGGAGCAAATCAATTCTCTCTTTGGCTGGACTTTAGGCCGATAGATTCTCTATATGGAGGGGAAACATGATGTAAAGCAGTGACAGATATTGTTAGTTTTATTAAGACTGATGACAGATAACACAATGAAGACAATGTCTAGTTTGCTACAGAAAGGAAAGCAGGAGAATACAAGGAATTTAAATGTGAAGATGACTAAGAGAAAAGCTTATGCAGAGAGTTGTATTTCAGTAAAAAGAACCAACAATACATAAACTTACAATTAAAGAAACTGAAATATATCATGGTCCTACTTTTAAGTCATGGTGCTAACCATGGTAACTATCCCTAAAATAACTGAAAAAAGAAATACAGTAAACTTAGAAATAGACCCTGCAGTCCTAAAGCAACTAACTAATAGATATCAATAAATTCTCTTAATGACCCTAAGAGTGATGTCAAAGGCTTCTTGCATTGATAAAAGCCTTTGCAGAAGGGATAAGTTTTATAGGGGCCTCAAGAGTGGTTTTGTTTGCCGTTCGCTGGAATCCCGAAGTAGAACAGCAAGCTATCATCGAGCCTACAGGAATGGCTAGAAAAAATTGTTCATGTTTACTGTTCAGTGACATCGAAATGGGAGGTTGACAAGATCAAACAAGAAACTAGAAAAAATATCATTCAGATGTACTTCATTCCAGAAATGAAGAGGATATTTCATGTTTTCTGTGTCAGAGGAGAACATACTTGAATCCATGGTTAAGCATGAGGGCTTCCGTTCTATTTTTGAAAACTATCTCATGCACCTCGTGTAAAGCCTACTTCATGCTTTAATTCAGATAACCGACCTTCAAATGGGAGCAGTTAGGTACATGAGGCAATCCAACGTGTTTAGTGTATTTTGTTAACTGCTAGATTTTGTAAAATGGCTTAATGTTTATTTCTTTCTTGTAAGGCTAGGATGTTGTTACTGCTTCTTTACAGACATTTTATCTTGTTATCTGATTCTTAGTGGGCAATGCAAAGTTTATTTATTATGCTTTATCATCTAACTCTTGCTTTAGTCCTAACTTTCACTTACACTTCTATTCAGAGATTTTTTGGATTAAGAAGTATATTACTTTAGCACTGCTTATCCTAATAGGTTAAGTTTAATGGTTTCAACTTTCATCACTTCTGCTAGCCTACAAGAAGCAACAACACTCACTTTGCAAGCGGTACAAACAAAATTCACCTTCTTCCAGTGTTGCTGGTACTTTTAATAACGAAAATAGGAAATAGCTAATCTCCTTGCACAATGATCTGAGCTTGCATGAACTGTGTATTTTAAGTCAATATTGAATCAAGTGCTTCATACTAGAATCACTATACACACTTTACCATAGATTGTTAGCAACTAACCACTGGTCTGTCGAAATGATTGAGTTTTCTAAAGCCTAATATGTTCTCTAAAATAAAAATGTTTCATGTCTAAACAAGTCTGATTACTACATGTACCAGCAAATGAGAAGAAACTAAAGGATAAACAAACCTAATTAACTGCTCAGTGCATGAGATAGTTTTTCAAAAATTATGGCGGAGGCCCTCATGCTTTACCATGGATTCTGGTATGTTATCCTCTGACACAGAACATGAAGGATCAATCTTGACTCATTCCTAGACAATAGTACATCTGAACGATACTTTTTTCTCGTCTGTTATTCGATCTTGTCAACCTCCCATTTTGACGTTACTGGATAGTAAACATGCACAAATTTAATGTGACCATTCCTATAGGCATGACTGATAGCATGTTGTTCTATTGATGGATTCCAGAGAACGTCAAGCAAAACCACTCTTGAGGACCCTATAAGCAGAGGTGTATGTACATGAAGGGGAGTGGGTTCACATGCACACATCCTCCCCTTCCTAACCCTTATATAATACTACTATTTTTCTAATTATCTTTTTAAATTTGTATTGGTGAACCCAAGGTTAAAAAGAATACTCTAGTATATTAATAAGTATGTACAAATTGGGGGTGCATAACTTATAGATTTGTGGTTCAAATTTTTCTATCCACATAATATTTTTAATTTTTAATTAATATAATAAAATGTGCCACTTTTCATAGATCTTTTTAATAATTTATAAATAAAAAGAGGTTCAAATACCCATATTTTTAGGTTGCATTAGCTATGTCTAGACCTTAAGCTAGAAGTGTCAATAAAGTCAAATTATATTTTTTACTTTCTTTTTCTCCTTTCCTTCTTTAGACGTTTTTCTTATTTATTTATTTTAACTTTTTCTTTTGACTTTTCAAAGCCCTAAACTAAAAGGTAAAAAAGAGTAAAGACATCATAGTGTTGTTCTTTTGGCCTCATTCCACTTTGTTGTTCATGGTGAAGTAGAAGTGAGATTTGAGAACAAGTAACAAGGTATGCTATCTAAAAATAAATAAATTATTTGTTAATGTACTTCATTTTTTTATATGTTTTTCTTGATTTATGAAGTGGTGCCATTATTTGATTGCTTGAATAATTAAATTTATAAGAATTTCTTGATTTCTAAATAGTTATCTAATAATTGTGATTCTTTTATTAGTAAACTTGTTATTTGTGCTAACATTTTTAAAAAAATTATTTTGTTTTGATAAGATTGAATAGAAGTATGAATATTTAATTTTGTAGGTAAAATAATTCTTACATTCAAATCATCAAATCACAAATGGATAAGTTTCTCATCAAGTTACCAAAGCCAAAAGATGACCAACCAAGTTCTAGCTCTAATCAACCATTTGTGAGTTCACAAGTTGCTCCAGAAGTTCAAAGACATAAATTCTTTTCCACTTTCAAATACGGATAATATGCTTGATTTTAAATCTCTAGAAGCAGATCCCAAAGATTTAATGCCTATTTCATCTTATGGTCCTAATATTCGAGATGCAGTAAGGAGGTAGTACATTCAAAAAAAGCCGTGTCAACCTGTTGATCATATCTTCCCTAAAACTAAGTTTGGAGATAAAATGCGTCAATTTCGACCAACTTGATTTAAGAGAAGATCTCAATGGTTGAAATATAGCATTAAAGCAGACACGCCAATTTGTTTGTGTTGTTATTTGTTCAAGAATGAACTTGAAAGTCGTGGAAATGTCGGAGATTCATTTACAAGAGCTGATTTTAGGTGTTGGAACAAAGCTTTAGAAAGATTCAAAAACATGTTGGTAAGGTAAATAGTATCCATCATAAATGTTTCAATAGGATGCAAGATTTGATAAACCAACGACAATCGATCCAATCTTCTTTTGACAAGCAAAGTGAAAAGACAAGAAGTGATTATCGGATGCGTTTAAATGCCTCAATTGATGTAGCAAGATTTCTCTTGACATCGGGATTTCCATTTCGTGGACATGATGAAAGTGAAGGTTCCGAATATAAGAGTGCTTTTCTTGAACTTTTGAAATGGTATGGGGATAGAAGTTTTGATGTGGGAAGAGTAATATTAGGTAATGATATGATGATTTGTCCGACAATTCAAAAAGATATTGTGGAGGCTTGTGCTAAAGAAACAACTAAGGCTATCATTGAAGACTTGGACGGTGATTATTTTGGAATATTAATTGATGAATCAAAAGATGTTTCTCATAAGGAGCAAATGGCTCTAATTTTGAGATATGTCAACAAAAGTGGAATGGTGATAGAGCGATTCTTGGGTATTGTCCACGTAAATGATACATCTTTTCAATCATTAAAAAAGGCAATTTATTCTTTGCTTTTGGATCACTCATTAAGTACATCCAAAATACGTGATCAAGGTTATGATGGGGCTAGTAATATGCAAGGGGAAATAAATGGTCTCAAGTCTTAGATTTTACAAGATACGTCATCTGCATATTCTATTCACTGTTTTGCTCACCAATTGCAATTGGCACTTGTAGGTCTTTCCAAAATGAATTCGGATGTGGATATTTTTTTTTATGTTCTCACTAATATTTTGAATACTATTGGAAATTCATTTAAACGCAGAGATTCACTTCGACAACATCAAGAAGATAAGTTGGAAGAGTTGCTTAAATTTCGAGAAGTTCATACAGGGCAAGGTTTGAATCAAGAACGTGGCCTCCAACGACCGGGTGATACTCGTTGGGGGTCTCATTTTAAAACCTTGGACAATTTCCTGATTATTTTTTCTTCAATTGTTAATGTGCTTAAGGATATGAAATGTGATTGTCCATATCATCTTGATAGATTTGCGGCGGAAAATCCTTTGAGCAAGATTCATGAATTTGAATGTCTTTATGTTGCACTTGATGTTTAAGGTGTTGCTATTGACGAATGAGTTGAATAAAGTTTTACAAAAGAAAGATCAAGATATCGTTAATGCTATGGGATTGCTTGACCTTTCAAAGAAACGATTGCAAATGATGAGAAAGGATGAATGGGACTCTATGATGGATGAGGTTAGCTTATTTTGTGGTAAACATGGTATTTCAATTCCCAAAATGAATGAAGGCTACTCTAATGGGAAGTCAAAGCGTAAGAGGTCCAATATTTCATATTTGCATCACTTTCGTGTGGAAGTATTTTATGCCGTCATTGATTTGGCACTTCAAGAACTCAATAATCGTTTTGATGTGGTGACTAGTGACTTGCTCCTCGGTATGGCTAGTTTGAGTCCGGTTGATTCATTTGCTAATTCTCACAAGGATAGGATAATGAAACTAGCCGAGTACTATCCAAGTGAGTTTGGTGATAAAGAGCTTCGGGAACTCAATTTTCAACTCGATGATTTTATTGTCTATGCTCAAAAGTGTGATAGCAAGTTTCTCAACTTGAAGGGAATCAAGGATCTTGCAAGAGTGATGGTAGGGACAAAACTAGATCAAACTTGGTCACTTGTGTATCTACTTGTGAAGCTAACTTTAATTATTCATGTTGCTACCGCAAGCGTGAAAAGAGCATTCTCATCAATGAAGTACATAAAGAATGATTTGCGTAATAGGATGGATGAAGATCTTTTGAATGGTTTTTTAGTTTGCTATATAGAGCGTAGTATATTTAAAAATGTAAGTAATTATGCCATTATTGACCATTTTCAAAATATGAAAACTCGTCGAGCACAATTGTAAGTGAATGATGTTTTTTGCTAATATATTACTATATAAAGATTGCTACTACCTACTTGCTCGTCAACTTGTTCTCACCGTAAAATTTATATAATTGAATTAATTGTCTATTTTGAAGATAATGGTGCCCCATTTTCCTGAGATCTTGGATACGCCTCTGCCTATAAGACTTATCCTTTTGACCAGGCTTTTATCGATGAAAGAAGCACTTTGACATCACTCTTAGGGTCATTAAGAGAATGTATTGATATCTGCTGCTTCTTGACATCAAGTTTCCCATCCATATAGAGAATCTATTGTCCTAACTCCTAATGTCTAGTCAAAGAGAGAAAGGAGTTGCTCCATCATCAAGTAACTAGCTAAATATGATAACCCTCTCCTTCGGCCCATCACATTGTTTGATTAGTTCAACAACAAATTTCATTCTTACTCCAATATCTGGATCCAACTGATATCTTCTTTCACTGAACTGACTTTCTAACTCAGAGAACTCCTTCTTATTTGGCACTAATAAAGGATGATCAGAGATCAGAGACAACAGATTTCGTTTTGAATGGGAGCCCGGATTCTTCGGAATTCTTTTAAGCAACTCCTTCTGCAAATCTGTGGGCTTCAAGTATATCACGCTATTCTTTATAGCCGGAAGGATTACCTTCTTTATATCTTCATTGAACGTATGGACAAGTGGTGAAATAATATCCCTATGCTCTTACAATGCTCAGGCATTCTTGTCAATGGAACTGCAAAGAGAAGCCCATTGCTCTGAACCTGCCGCAAACTTTGGATTTACTATGCTGGGAGTGTTGTACAATTCTTTGATGTTATTCTGGAACAGAGTTCGAGAGAAAAGTATCTGAATCGTGTGGTTTGACACCCACGACCGCGAAGACTAAGAAGAATGGTTTACGCAAATGCAATGCAGAGCTTGCGATCACGAAGACCAATTTTAGTGGCATTCGCAAACATGATTCAAAGATCGCAGATGTGAAGAACAAGCTAGCTGCACCAGCAAAGACTATACCAACCTAAATTTGAAGTTGGCCAACTGCCCCGATGGTGCCTCGAGATTCGTTGGAAACCTGCCCATACACACAAACTATGCTAACTCACAATATTTGACATTCCAGACACAATAAAGGTTTCAAAACTTCAAATGGAGGTCATATCGATAAAATTTGGGTCCCACACCCATAACTTTGTTTTAGCCAAAAGCAATAAGTTTGCTTGAAATGAGTTTGGAAGCCTTGACACCTGAACCAAAGGTCCTTCTAGACAAAACATGATGTTCCAGAGCTAAAAGAACCATCAGAGTTACATTCAAAGGTCAATTTCCTGAAGTTTTGATCAAAGCTAACAATTCAAACTTCAAAGCTCCAAAATACAAAAACTTGATAAAAACCAAAAGAGTGACTAGGTGACACTACTGTTAGTCCCAGCAAGTCATAAACGACTTTGAATCGCTATAGAAAAGCTCTAAACAGTTAATATACATTGATACGAGTAAATGGCCTACAGGGTCATTACAATTTTTTTTTTATCAAAAATAAGAGTCTATAGTCGTAAAATATTGAAGAGAGTGAATTTCAAATTCTTTTTTTTTATTTCTTCAGGATTTCAAGTATCGAAGCAAACATTAAGTGGGGCATACCAATTTATCAACTTATTGAATTAGATTCTATGGTTCTCAATTACTGTTGTTTTTATCTAAATTTTTAAACATATTACATATAGAATTATGTTCACATTGCCTATACTGTTACCTCGGTAAAAGGATGCTTTCAACACTGCAATTGATAAAATCTTACCTAAAATTAATAATTAATTATTTCCAAAGAAACCTATTATAAAAAAATATTAAGTAATAATTTTTCATCTAAAATGTTTGAAAAATAGTGTTTAAAATTACTTATGAAGTTTATTCAACAGCAAGCACCAGTTTAACTTGGGGGTGGTGATTTAGTGGCAATGAGTGGCAAGGTGGATTTGTTGCCTATTCCATTAGGAACCGCCGATTTCAAGTTTTTATGTGTTAATTAAAATTTCACTTTACGCCTTCAAGTATATTTATTCGCTCCAACCCCATACACATTTCTAGGTGACACATGTATAATTGTGAATTGAATGCCTTTCTTTCAAAATTTACATTGCACAAAGAGAAGAATATATATATAGATATCTATTTATTAAAATTTCACTTTACGCCTTCAAGTATGTTTAGTCGCTCCAGCCCCATACACATTTCTAGGTGACACATGTATAATTGTGAATTGAATGCCTTTCTTTCAAAATTTACATTGCACAAAGAGAAGAATATATATATATATATATATATATATATATATATATATATATATATATATATGTATGTATGTACTATACTATACTATACTATACTACCTTAAAAGCATGAATTTCCAAACTTGAATGTTAAATTACTATAATACCCCCAATTAAAAATATTCATTTTATTTTATTTATTTATTTAATAATATTAAAATTAAATACCTTTTCACATTAAAGGGTTGTGAATTTTTCAAAGGGTTGTGACTTTTTTGACGGGTTGTGACTTTTTCGATGAGTTGTGACTTTTCCGAAGGGTTGTGATTTTTCCAAAGAGTTGTGACTTTTCCAAAGGATTGTGCCTTTTCCGATGAGTTGTGACTTTTCCAAAAGGTTGTGACTTTTCCGATGTGCAATGACTTTTTCAAAAGGTTGTAACTTTTTTGATAAGGCGGAATTAGCACCTATTCATACTACTATTTGTTAGCTATAAATAGAGGGTTTCCTCTAACTTTTAAACTGCGATTTTTTTTAAAAGTTTTCTACTCTTTTTCTTCATAAAAAATCTCAAGGGTTATTTGGAACAGTTGATTAAGTAAAAAATTCAACGAAATTCGAGGTACCACATAAGAAAGAGTCCGTGAACAAATTGTAGAAAATCATTCATCAATTCACAATCATATTTGTTCTTACGATTTTCATGAGTTAATAGTGACGAAATGTTGTGGGAAAGACAATAATAATAAATAAATGTGAAAAAATCACATGATTTGGGTCAGGTATTTCTTCTTTGTTTTTTCATTTTTTATTCTTTCACACTTAAACAAAGGAGTTTCTTTTTAATTTTACTAAAACAACAGGCATCAACATAGTCCATTGAATTATTAGTTTTGATGTTATATCCAATATTTCAAAAATAGATTTTCACTTTTACTTAAAATCTGATAATATAATCATGATAATAATTGTATTATTTTTAATACATATGTAAGTAAAAAGGAACGGAGAATGTAACGTGTTGGTGGGAAGATATTTCAATCAAATGGAACACTATCGTGAATGTAGCATGAACATATATTTTCGTCTTCCTTCTTCATTGGCTATGTATTGTTCCATATGTTTTTTCTTTTTTATATTTTTATTGAGTATACAATTTTTTAAGTATGAATTTCCTGTTATTTTGTGCTCATTTTAATTTTAGAAAATGTTATGTCACAAGATATACTCCTTGCTAGCTATATAAAAATAGATAAGAAAATAATGATTGGTCATAAAATATTCTTAAATCAAATTAAGGATTCTATAAATAACACTTTAAATTTTATTCATCAATTAATTTTTATTATTGAAAAAGGTAAATATTTTAAATCACAATAAAACTTCTATAAGATACTAGATACTTTCATTAGACAACAACTATATGATATGTATGCGGCAGAAAAAATGAAAAGACTACAATTCTACAAAGATAAGGTAGAAACTTAATGAAATGAAATATTTTTCACCAAAGGTGATGTTCAGATATTAAAATTAAATTATGGTACTAAAATGTATATATATATATATATATATATATATATATATATAACAAAGTGTTGGTCAAGCTAAATATTTGACATACACTCAAGCTTCTATTTAACCATCATTCGTTATAATTAACAACAAACAACCTTTTTTTTTTTTGTAAAATTACCTCTCTATGATAATCTTACTCAAATATTAATTGAGTAATAATATTTTATAAAAAATAGATTGCGTATAAAGATAAAATATTGAAATATTTATGGTAATCATTATTATTGTCATGCACATACTAAATTTCAAGTATGAATTTTTAAGAGAATAATTATACTTAAATGGTGTCCATCATTTATGTTCATAACCTCAAGAAAAAAGGCCATTGATATTTTAAAAAAAATAAATTTGTTGGTTAGATTTGTTTACAAAATTGAGTGAAGTAAAAAAATACTACTAAAGAAATGCCACTTTCTCACCATATTTAAATTCTGAATGTATTTTGAAATGTTTCAATGATATCTGGTCAATATGATCTCAAAATACAAATAACTCTATGACAATACATATTAATCATTTAAAAACATTGGTCCTATGTTCTTTCAATTATAATTATTTACTAAAAATATTAATTTAGTAATATTAATTCTATTTTACAACATCGTATACTATATATGCAATACACACGTGCAACGCACGTGCCGTAAAACTATTATATATATATATATATTCTACATATTACTTTTAAAGCATGAACTCCTAACTTGAATGTTAAATTACTATAATATCCCTAACTTAGGTTGTTACTTTTTCGATGAGTTGTGACTTTTCAAAGAGTTATGACTTTTTCTATGAGTTATGACTTTTCCAAAGAGTTGTGACTCTTTTCAATAAGTTGTGACTTTTCCAAAGGGTTGTGACTTCGCGAAAAGGTCGTGACTTTTCAGATAAGACACAAAAAACATTTGTTCATACTACCCTTTGTTGACTATAAATAGATGGGCTTCATCTCATTTTTCAACCACAATTTTTTTAATCTTCTACTCTTCTTCTTCTTGCATTGAATTTTTTTTTTTTGTGTGATTGATTGTCGTTGAGCGAGTCCGAAATTAAGCAGAATATGAGGTACCACTATTATGATGAAATAAGTCTTTTTATCCTAAGAGGGTATATTCCATAACCTCGAGTACTTTAGAAAAATGATTTTGATGATATAATAATATTTTTTTGCTTAATATATACATTAGTATGTAAGGTTCCAATATATGACGTTAACATGATGTAGTCTAAAGTCATTTGTTTTTGTTAACAAATTCTTTTCTGATGTAGATGTTTGCTTCTGAATATCTTTTCCAAAATTTAGATAATTTTCACAATTTGTTTTTGATGCTCAAGACAAAAGAAGGACTTTATTTATCAGCGCTACTTATGTGATTTAGACTCTCATGAAGTGTCATGACCTAGACCATCATGATTGTTACCCACACTAACACTCTGGTGGGAGAACCACTACTATAACCCAAACCAAGCAACTAATCCAAAAACTAAGACATTTAAGTATATGAAAACAGAAATAATAGCTAAAACTGAAGTTCCCATAAACTTCAACAAAAGATCAAACAACTAACAATGCGGAAAAACACCTAGAACCTAAAAGTCAATGTACCAAAACATCTAAAGTTCAACAAGTCTAAACAAGAAGGGATGGAACCCCAACTAATGAACTAATCAACTAACTAGAACAAATACAAAAGTCCGAAAATGGTGGACATAGATGAAAGAGAATCCCATGGAAGCCCGAAAGAATTGACTCACCCTTGAATTCGAAGCAGCAATCCCTGATCTCCTAAGCGAGGTCTATCAGTAGCCGCTTGAAGATGCCCTGTACTCAACAAAAATAAGAGTGCAGTATCAGTACACAACCACAGCGTACTGGTAAGATCATGCAGTTATCTCACTAGTGCAACATAAACAAGTCAAGACAACAATATAATCACATGCATATATATCAACATATACAACATTATCAGCGATCGTCACCCCGCTGTAGCGGCTCCTCCAGAGAAGTATAATTCAGCGCCAAAGCGGCTGAAATGAAATAGAGAGTTATTCCTAGAATTCCAAAATCCCCACTTCATAACACACCTCTAACCAACGACGTTTAGAAAATAACCTTCACGCCAAGATCGATTCCGGGAGTTCTACTCACCCGAATTCAATTTTGTAAAGTCGTA